TTGCTCTTGTTAAGTAGATACACTCACTCCAATGTTCAGTCAGGATATCTGTCTGAAAATCTAAGGAAGAATATATATATATATATATATATATATATATATGATTGACTCTTCCGTCGATTTCGACTTATGAGAATTCGACAACCTCATTCAGTTTTTATGAGTCCCGCTAGTGACTTGCATATAATCACGATACTATCAAGGGACATAGCCACAGGAATATTTGCTGATGCTTTTCGCCATTGCTTTTTGTCTCTTAGGCGGTCAATACGACTGATTTATAAATTTCTGATACCACTCTTGCACACACACACATAGACACACACATATATATATTTATGTATTTATATATGTGTGCGTGTTTTTGGGTGGGGATGTGGATTGCATACATACATACACACATACATATATATATATATATATATATATATATATATATATGTGTGTGCAGATAGATAGATATATAGAAAGAAAGAAAGGAAAAAGAAAGAAAGAAGCATACTAAGCTAGATAAATTAAAAGAAAGAAAGAAAGGAATAAAGAAAGGTAGAGACTGAACAAAAGAAATGGAAAGAAAGAAAACAGATACATTCAGAAATGGAACAGATTATGAAAGCAAATTAGAAAAAAATGGAAAGCAAGAAATAGCGTAAGCTAGATAAATAGAAAAAAAATCGAAAGAATGAAAGAAAGAGACTGAGCGAGATAGTTAGAAAAATTGAAAAGAAAGAGAATGAGCAAATTGAATAGAAAAATAGAAAGAAAGAACGAAAGAAAGAAAAAAGATAACGCAACAGACCAAGGTAGATAAATAGGACAAAAGAGATAGATAGATAGAAATATGGAAGAAAAGAAGAAAATAGACTGAACTAGATAAATATGGACAAAAATGAAACGAAAGATTGAAAAAAGCAAACATTCGATAGATAGAAAAATGAAAAGGAAGAAATAAAGAAAGAGTTTGAGCTCCATAAATAGAAAAAAAAGATTAGAAAGAACCTGAATGAAAATTATAGACAAAACAATATGGAAAAGAAGATATAAATATGTGTGAGACTGCTTTTGGGCGGGGAGGTAGGATCTATCTATCTATCTATCTATCTATCTATCTATCTATCTATCTATCTATCTATCTATCTATCTATCTATCTATCTTTTGGTCTTATCTATCTATTTTTTCTCTAGGTTTTATCTATCTATCTATCTATCTATCTATCTATCTATCTATCTATCTATCTATTGGTCTTAGCTATCTATCTATCTATTGTCTTATCTATCTATTTGTTTATCTAGGTCTTTATCTATCTATCTATCTATCTATCTATCTATCTATCTATCTCAGCCTCTCTGTCTGCGTATCTATCTATCTATCTATCTATCTATCTATCTATCTATCTATCTATCTATTGGTCTTATCTATCTATTTTTTCTCTGTGTCTTATCTATCTATCTATCTATCTATCTATCTATCTATCTATCTATCTATCTATCTATCTATCTATCTGGTCTTAGCTATCTATCTATCTATTGTCTTATCTATCTATTTGTTTATCTATCTATCTATCTATCTATCTTCTATCTATCTATCTATCTATCTATCTATCTCAGCCTCTCTGTCTGCAAGTATCTATCTATCTATCTATCTATCTATCTCTATCTATCTATCTATTGGTCTTATCTATCTATTTTTCTCTGTGTTTTATCTATCTATCTATCTATATCTATCTATCTATCTATCTATCTATCTATCTATCTATCTATTGGTCTTAGCTATCTATCTATCTATTGTCTTATCTATCTATTTGTTTATCTAGGTCTCTATCTATCTATCTATCTATCTATCTATCTATCTATCTGGCCTTAAATGGTCGGCAGTTTCCTTACAGATGAGGAAAAGTCTCGAAGCTGGTACATATTATGAGGAAGGGAGACTAGAAAAAGTTAATAATCACAGGACATAAGGAGGGATAAAGGAGAGACAGCGGTGTAATTTACTTTTATTAGCGTATGAATGGATTGCAGAACTGGAACCTGCCTGTATGTATGAGTGTTTGTGTTGAAAAGCATCTTTTCTGCCTTATCGGTTCTTTCTTCTTTTTGTGTTCTGCCTCTTGTAGTTTTTCTTTTTTCAAATTTTGCCCATATCGTGTTTTGCCAATGGCACCTGTTTCTGAAATATATATATATATATATATATATATATATATATATATATATATATATATATTTTAATTCTTTAACGTCATTTCACCATGTGCCATTCCTTGGGTTTATCATCTGCCTCGATTTCATTAGGAATGGAATTCCACTTGTCATTCACGTACTTCACGCTTGTTTCCCTTTCGTTAGCGTCACTAATGCTTCCATTAAGGTGTCTCGTTTTGAAACGCGTCTTCAAAAGCTTCATATTTGTTCCTCACCACATGTGTTTGTTTGCCAATTTGCGGAAATTGTCTTATTCCAGTTTAACCATTTCCCTGGCCGTCGTCAACTGTATTAGGTTCGAATGAAAGGCTTATATCTCCAACCCGTAGAATATACTTACTATAGAAAACAGACCAGCAACAAATTTACATTTTACCCTCTCTCCCCCCACCACTCTCTTTCTCTTATATATATCGTGGCTGTCCTCTCGGTTTTGAGCGTGACCACCTCCTTTATTTCATGTCCTCACCCCCCTCCCACTCCCCTCAAATTCTATGTATTCGCAGGCCAGCCAAACTGCGTCATATTTTGCCACATAATGGCATACCCGATCAGTTTTGTTTACAGTGACATGATTCGGGTGCACACTAGGTTTTGCACATTTACACAAATGGCTTTTGAAGATAGGCACAATTTTCCGCATATGTCACAATTAAGGTGGTGAATTTGTGGACCCGGTGCTGGACCCTATTCGCCTTTACGAATCAGACGCTTGTAGGCACTGTACTGCATACGGCTATTCTCAAAGGACTACAGATAGTCCAGATTGTTTCCGAAAAGATTTTATTGTGGCCTTAAATCTCTTCTTCGGTTTTGATGCATTTCTCTTTCCTTCCCACATTTCACCATAGAACAGCAGTTTTGGTAGACGACTGTCATCCATACGTGCAATGTGACTGACCCATCGGATACAATTTTTCATTACCAACTGAATGCTTGGTAGCCCTGCTTTCTCTAATACTTCTGTATCTGAGAAATGGGACTGCCATGTGATATGAAGTATCTGTCTCAGACACTGTATATATATATATATATACTATTAAATACACCATATATATATATATATATATATATATATACTATATACTTATACTTATATACCGTATATATATATATATATATATATATATATATATATATATACACCGTATATTTTATAAACTATAAACTTATATACACCGTATATATATATATACTCAAATACACAATATATATATATATATATACTTATACTTATATACCGTAAATATATATATATACTAGCTTAAATACACCGTATACATATATATATATACTATATATATTTATATACACCGTATATATATATATATACATATATATATATATATATATATATATATATATATATATATATATATATATATATTAAATACACCGTATATATATATATATATATATATATATATATATATATATATATATATATATATATATATATATATATATACACGCAAATATATATACTAGCTTAAATACACCGTAAACATATATATATATATATATATATATATATATATATATACTAGCTTAAATATATATATATATATATATATATATATATATATATATATATACTATATATATACTTATATACACCGTATATATATATATATATATATATATATATAACTAGAAAAAATCGCCCTATTGGACGGTATTTAAGCTATTTCTTGCGGAGGGTTCTTCATTGGCCCTTTGTCGCTATAGGCATGGAGCAGTAGATGCGATAGGCAACCGTAAACTAATGAAGAACTAAAAATTTAAAGAAGATTTGATGCACCTAGGTCCTTACTTTCCGTACAAACAATTATATTTATTTCGATTAATCTCGATTATTACCAAATTTATTTCCAAGTTATAGAAATTGTTATTGTACCAAAAAAAAAAAAAATCGTCGCAAAAAATCACCTAAAAATAATCGTCGAAAACAATCACAGTAATGAAAATTTGGGAATTCAAAATTTTAGGATTTTGGGTCCGGTCTGGAATGTTTTTAATTTGCTCAAGGAGTCAGCCTGATTCCAAAATGGTATGATATGTTGGGCTACAACATCTAGGAATAACGTTGAAAATGCATACAATTTTATTTTGAAACAATCTAATTGGAGAACAGAATTTTTTTCTTTTGAAACGTGTTATTCAAAGTTAGAGACTTGTGTAACTTGAAAAATGGTGACACAGTGACATTCACATTTATTATATATATATATACATATATATATATATAAAGTTTCGTTAAAAAAGACTGACAAAGTAATTCGGTTAAGTTTTCTTTATTTAATTTTTCTTGTCTTATAATTTCATTCTTTTCTGGACATAAATAATGTAGAAATTGTCCGACTGTTCTGTAAGTCCGAGTGCTAAAAAGAATGGAAACATTGTTATAAATAAAGAAAAATCCAACACTCAATGATATTAACTCTGGACATGGCTACAATCTAGTAACTGTATTTGGAAAATAAAACATTCCTTTAAAACAAGGTACTTACAAGAAAATAAACATACGTTCCACTAAAAATAAAAATATGCATTTACAAATACTTTACAAAAAGCCTCTCGCCTGGGCATCCAACACTCACATATCTCTCTCCTTCATGTACGTCTATACAAAAGCATACTATTATACTTCTTTGTTTTTATATCTGTGTCGGGACTGTTTTGTATATGCAAACATGAGTACCCCCGTCTGTGTAAATAGGTACGTGAGTATTCGTCTTTTGCATTCTCTCCTAAGTAGATGAAGCGTTCTGTATATATCTGGGGTCACTTGGAGAAAACACTCTTAAGTACCCCCTCCATATCTACACGATTAATAATATATTGGAGGACATCTTGCATATTATCTAAGTACTGATTTAGAAATGTACTAGCCAAATATGTGCATAAGTGTTAATGAATACAACAAGATAAATAGATGAATATGGGTGTATATGTGTGTATACATACGTATCGTTGGACACGTTGACGTGAAAACATATATGTGTAGATTGATGCGAATGTGTGTATGGATGTAGGCACATATATGTAAGTGTAATTATATGTGTATATAGAAAAATGTCTATGTATGTAGGTATGGGGATTTCTCCCTCCCTCTCTTCTGTCCTCTGCCTCTCCCTCTTTCTTTATTCTTTTCTCGTGTACGGTGAATAAGAGGTCAACGCCACAACCATCGTATCCCCAAGAGACATATACCTCACCCCTCCCATTATTACTCTACGCAACTATCTTAAAACATGACTTCCGCTAATCTTGTTTTTCATTTCGTTTTTCGGTTTCATCCTTGTAAGAATTTTTGAATTTATTCATTGTTTTGAAACCGTGGGTCTGACGTAGCGAAATCAAATTTTATCGTCCTCGCGAAATATAAAATATTACCATGGCTTTCTGAAGTATCCGAATTATTAATTATATATCTATATATATATATATTGGTACAGTTGGTATGGCGTTTGCCTCCTATCGTAACTGTTCGGGTTTCAATTCTCGGTATTGGATGCGAACTGCTGATGAGTCCTAAATATAGGACGAAACGGCCGCCCAGTGCATTCTGTTGAGGTTTCTTCTAGACTCGATGAATTACTTAATTATGATTATTTCAAATCCTCTTAATTATTTCTCTCTCTATCTCTTTTATATATATATATATATATATATATAAAAGTGAACATTGAAGTCAAGATCCAGGCGACAGGCTGTTTCATGCTGGTCTTAATCGTCAAACCGTATTGTGTGTGTATTTAGGCAGCATCTTTTCATTCATACACGTTTCATTAAATAATATAGACAAGTGTTGTCTATTTATCTTATGTAATTTTTTTTACTTATTCTTTTTCCATCTTTGTCATGATTGTTCATTGATTTCTCTACATGTTCTTCTTGACGGTTTCAATGATTCTTCCGTAATGAACCGAACTGTTTCTTCTTGGTATTGGATTTAGTGATGCTGTTTCTGTTCAAGATTTTTTCTATACATTCAAAACAGATTTTGAGCAAACATTCACCCGCCTTATCAACTAACAATTCTGCCATTTTTGTTGCGACAATATATAATTTGAGCCGGCATATTTAATTAAATTATAGGAAACCTTATAACAAATTGAAAACTATTTTACGTAATAAATCTGTTTCGATTTCCGTTTAAATAAAGGGTAAATATTTATGCCGCACTCTGTAGACTACAGACTAAAGTTTCGAGGTTGTGCTCTGAACTTAATAATTAGTAAATTTCATACCTTCTATGGTTTAGCTAACGCCTACCCAGCAAGGATGCTGAAACTATGTAGGTCATTATTGCATCTTGTCCTTTTATTTTAGAGAAGAGGTTACCTAAACATTAAAATCTGCAGCCCTAAAATTACCATTAACCAGAAAGGTAGATTAAGCAAAAAACTAAATGTTAAAGGAAACTTTATACTGTAATGGGTCGATATTTTTATTATTATTATTATTATTATTATTATTATTATTATTGAATATATGATAAAAGCCTTTAGGAACAAAACTCTAATAAATTTTGAAAAAAAGCACGCGCCGTTCAGTGTTTACACGACTTTTCGAAAGCTGTAGGTTGGTCACAGACTTTTGGCCTTGAGTATGTATATAGTTTGAATAAAAGATTTTTCAGCATTTGTTTCTATAGTTCTTACACGCGACTGAATAATTGCCTAGTAATAAATTCCAACCTACTACATCCGTTTGAATGTTTACTTTATAGCAATTTGATTTTCGTCTCAGTCAATGTCCATCCAGTAATTATATTTTCGTTTTATAGTTTGTTTATAGCTAATGATATGGAAAACATAATAATGAAATACATGCCCTTTGGTTAAGTACGACCACATTCGAGTGCGTTATTTATTCATTCATTTAAGCACGATGAAACTCATGCGTCAAAATTCGGAGCAGCCCTCAACACAACAGTCTTGCCATGACGCAACGAACAAATTGAAAATGAGCCTCTTTTTTTTTTTTTAATGAATTTGTTAAATCTTTACTAAGAAGCTGTAAATTTTCGGCAATATACGTTCAGGATTTGTATCAGCTATACACTATATACCCCGGTTTTCTCACATGAACGATTAGAAATATATTCAAGCGAATGCAAAATACCTGGGCGGTGAAGACTGACGCTACATAATCACAAACAAAGAACTTTAACAAATAATAAACACCGCGTCGCATGGAGCAGTAACAATGAATGGGAAGATTATATTGGACTAATTGCTAAGTCTGCTGCTAGGACATTTGGTTTGGTATGTCGTGCTAGACAATTTT